TTCCCTAACCATACTATTTATTTGGGGTTATGTTATTTCAAAGACTTGTATCAACAACTTATTTAAGTTATTGCACCTGTATTTAAAGTTATTTTGAAACATTATAAATTGTTTTTGTTTGATAGTAAATAAATACTAACTTATTTACCTCTTTTCAAGCTATGTCGTGAAAATAGGCTAGTCAAATTTCCTGGTTTGCAGGTATTGGTTTAAGCCAATAGCCCTATGGCATTTGATTAAATAACGACTATCAGTTTATGATCTTGTTAAAATGGTTTGCTCTTGCTCGTAAAATAAATAAATAAACTTATATTTCAATCATAATGTTGAGTTGGCAGAGTTTTGTTTACTACTTTATCAACAAAACAGGATGACGCCATCTTGATCTTGCCTCTAATTTGACAAGTCCCACCAACCCGATTACCCGGCCAACCTAACAAAACGAAACTCTGAAACAAAACCAGCAAAAACAGTGGTACGTTTTTAAAACACAGAGTGGTTACTCCAGTTATTATTATAGCTCAGTGGGTCTAACTGTCAAAAGTTACCAAAAACGCACGATATAGTTTTAAAGAAAGTGTCACTTTGAAATTCTAGCCTTAGCCAATCGTGAGTATGTATCGTGGGGTGATGTCTATTGTTTACGAAGCGCGGAGCAGACAGCCCGGCTCGTTGCCAACATCACAACGCCAAATACTCTACGATTCCCTCAATGTTTATTGCTTTAAGTTCTGGACTCAAATAGGTCCAGGACTTATAGATCCTGGAGTTTCAGAGATAGATCTGCAACTCAGCAAGACGATTTAGATCCGAGAGCTTATTTGAGTCCTAGACTCAATAAGTCCAGAACTTATAGATCCGGAGCTCAGCAACCGGCCCTAATATACTAATAATCCAGGGCTAGAGATATCTAGCCCTGCTAATAATCTCTACATGTGTTCTGGCGTTTTTTTGACAGTTGCATTGAAATAATAATACAAAACATGTTCATTTTCGGGCCATGGAATGAAATGAAAAATTAGTTATTTATACAGGCAAAGATTAATCATTTGTTTATTATCCATGTGGTTTCTACTTCATGATCTGTGGGATCGTCAAATAACACGCCCATTCTGGTGTCACATCGTCAAAAATTACAGAACGTCCTAGGGTTTTCCCAAGAATACTTACTTTCCGTGTCCGGAAATCAGACTTCGCTTTACCAAAAATTAGCTACCGATGGCTTTGTCATTCGCATGTAAAAAATCATCTAATGGGCAAGACTTGTTTAGGCGTGGGCAGATCAGCAGATGGCCAGGATCCTGAACAGCACCAAACGCGCACAAGATGTTTCCTTCGTCTGGTAAGAGACCCCATTTCTGCATGTTTGTCTTGCATTTTGGTACCTCGACCCTAATTCGATTTAGGATCTTCCACACCGTGTAATGAAGGCCTCCACCAGGAGCCAGTTCCTCCCTGGCTGGTATGGGAGGGTTAGTCAACGTAGCCTCCCACCTTGCCACCCGATTGCTTGAGAGTGATCCATCCAGGACTCGTGTCCGTGATAAAAAGGTCTTTCTGGACCGAAGCCGTCGCTCTAGGTTGGTGGCCGTGTAATAGATGACGAGGGTATATGTCTCTTGCTTAGTCCTTTCTGCGTCGGCAGCGACATCACGTCGGATTGATGGAGGGGCGATCCCTATGATAGGATAGAGTTTGTGTACTGGGTTTAGTTTCAAACACCCAGTTACAATCCGAGCCATGCCATTGACTGCAATGTCAACCTTTTTTGCATGTTACGATGCATTCCATACTGGTGCAGCGTACTCCACAGCCGACACACTGAGCGCTAAAGCTGAAATGAAATGATTTATTGTCGTTAAAACTATGTACAAAGTTCATGACAATCGTCAAAAGAAAAACAAAACAATCAAGATGGCTCTGGCAAATAAAATAAAACTCTAAACCAAAACCAAAGTAGCCATGAATGTGGCCATAATATATACAAATAAGGACATCAACTGAAACAGTGGACCTAAGTGCTCTTATCATAAATATATGCCTTTTACAATTTTAGATGCTACAAAATCTACATGTGAAAACCACTTCAAGTTTGACTGCAAGTGAAAACCCAAAAACTTCAGAGTGTTTGTTTACACCATTACCATTACTGCTAAGACTAATAGTCAGGTCTTGAGTCTTATCAGCATTAAGACATAACTTGTTTGCATTACACCAGTCATTAATAACAGCAGATTTTGTATCCAATGTATCTGTAACGTCATTCAAAGAGTTACCCCGTACACACAAGGCCAAGTCATCAGCAAAAAGAAAGCTTTTTACAGATAAGTCATTAATACACCATTAATACATTCTCCAAGAATACTAGAAAAGATAGAAAAGACCGGTTTTCGTCAATACTCTTTATTCAACATTAGTGTATAATCTTATGCGGTAATCAAATATTCTACGATTTCGAACAGTCGTAATTAATATAAAATATTGCTTAGTAAAAAGTCCCATGTGTATTACGCCAGATAAATTTCAATAACCAATGTTAAACTATCATGAAAATTAGACCAATTCGTATATACCAAGGCAAAAATGTGGTTCGGATTCCACCATAGCGGAAGGAAAATACACATGGGATTCCACTCTAAACTGTAGGTCCCTTTGGCATTAGCTTCATGGGCTATTAATTAACAGCTGTGTCTAAGGAATAAGTCGGCCTTAGTCACTAGCAAGGCTTTACCTTGAATGAGTTTGCAATTAATTAAATCGATCCAAATGTCATTGTCTTAAGCCTAGTTACTAACTTAAAAAAATCACATGTATTAGATATATTTTTCAAATAAAATGACAAAAACAAAGGGATACATTTTTTGCTAAGTGTGGCTTCTGATAAACTGTTTGGCAAGGAATAATAATACAAAACGGAACAAAAAAAAGAAATGATAAGAAAAATTAAAACAACATGCAATAGAAAAAGAAACTAAACTTTGAGTTTAGACGATTTATGAAATAGACTTGTCTTTAACTACTTTGATTATGAAGAAAAGTCTACAGGAGTTAAAGGCGGCCGTGACAGTAGTCAGCCTCCTAGTGATATCAGTTACAACAGTGCAGTTGCATGGTTGTTTAACATAGCCAGTTTTTTTAGCTCACGCCCACGCTCGCTCACCCTCATCAGTCATCTCATCGAATCCAACTCTCCCTCTCCCTCCATTTAGGTACTTACTCAGGGGAGGTATAGAAGAGGCTACGATGACAGCTGAGGGCTTCTTATTAGCTGAGGAACGCCATTACCGTAACAAAACTTTCGATAGCCATCGGGCCTCGGTGGTCTAATGGTTAGCGTGCCGGGCTGATATACTGTAGGTTCCGGGTTCGAATCCCGCTGATAGCATTAACTTTTTGTCCAAGATTTTTTTTATTATCAGCAAGAATGGTTGGTTTGGTTTGGTTATTACAGTTTAATTTTATAATTAAGTCACTATAAAATTTTAATTGAGCAATTTCTAGTTTTATTTAATAAACAGAATTATTTTTCCGACTACTAAACTCTTGTTATATTATTTCTTTATCAGCAAGTTTGGTTAGTTCGGTTAGGTTATGATAGTTTAATTTTATAATTAAAAAATATTAAAATTTAATTTGAGGCATTTATAATTTTATTTTATGAGCAGAACTATTTTTGCGATTAGTAAACCTTTATTGCCAAAGTGCTCTCTACTACAGCGCTATTCACGGAGGAATTTTGAACTAAATGCCTCATTTGTACCTCCCCTAAGTCAGATCAGGGGCCCTATTTTTGAAATGGTTGACTGTTGAGTCAATCGTCAGCACTCAACTCAACCAACAACATGATTTGGTATTTTTGAAACCCAACAGTTGGGAAGCGAGTTGGGAATCATTAGTTGAGAGACTCGTGGTGGAAATGTAGAGCATACGACCGTCAAAAATTCAGATGACGTCATTTTGAACCAATCACAATGCAGAGTTCTTGTGGACTTAAATTTAACCTCTTCTAAACTCTAAAATCTGGCAGCTAATCTCAATCTGCCATATTTCGAGACACTGAGGTAAACTGTCAACTCCGTTCTTGAGAGATTGAGATTGAGGTTATGTCTTGCTTAATCTTAGTGATTGCAAAGTACCTTAACTTAAGTAATAAACTAAAGTAAACTAAATAAAGTAATAAACTTAAGTATAAAAAATAAAATTTAATATGGATGTTTGTTTTAGGGTGTAGCTAATTATAAGTTTAGGCATAGGCTGCACTTTACTTTAGGTCCTACACTCATCCTAAATACATTATTATTTGCTTTCTTCGTCTCTATTTCGGAACACATCACCTTATTTTAGTTTCCTTCATCGGTTTGTTTAATGTTATTTTTAATTGTTTTTTATTTAGGTTAAAGCGGCTATTTGCCATTGCACTGAAAGCATATCGTAACTTAAATTAATTTGATCCCTTTATTAGGTGAATGGTGTTGAAACAAACTATGATATTGTTTCTCTCTACCACAATCTTTAATACCTTAAATCATAGGTCTAATAACAATAATTATCTTATAATAAGTTCAATTAGTATGCCTAGTCTATTTCAAACATTCCAACAAGAATAAAACCCTTGATTAAATAGTCTAGTATTGACACAGTAAATAAAATTAAAATTCGATTATTCTACAGAAAACAATCGCATAATTGGGTGCTAATACATTGACTAATACATAACCTCTAAATCGCAATTAGTAAATTAAAGCAATAACAAAACAATATGGCGTCGTCTCAAAAAGAGTAATTTTTTGCCGAAAGAGAGGAAGAAGAAAGTGCAGTCAACCTTCACTCAACAGCTCGATAGTAGTTGAGTAGTTTTGGTTGTATAAGTCCACCGTCAATCGTTTCAAAAATACGAAACGATTGGAAATAGAATGACTCGACACTCAACTCAACAGTCAACCATTTCAAAAATAGGGCCCATCCCCTCCATTCAGTCCATTCCAACAATCGAAATCAAGCAGACCGCATCCGCATCGACCGCATCATTTGCTAGCTAGCTACTCACTAATTAGTTTACCATAACCTTCAATATCTTACTTAAGATTTAACTTTTCTGCTGACAAGATAATCTAATTTATCTCAGTAAATCAACATGAAGCCTGAAACAAAGAACAGAGTAAAAATAGTATTTAACTTTGGCAAACTTGTTTTCAACTATGGATTTATTCCTATGGTAGTTTATCTAGGTAAGTAGCCTAGACCACGGGGACCTATAGTCATAGTAGGTCTTTTTTATATCCCTAGCTGCTGAACCCTCAAAAAGTATACTCGAGTTTGAGCTTTTATTGCAACGTAACCAGTAGACTTAGGTAGACTTTTAACTTAGGCTAAGATTCTTAGAAAAATACAAGTTACATGGGTACTGTAATATTTTTACAAATTTATTTCTGCGTTTAAGTGTGTTGGTTTAACTTACCTGTGTAAAGCTGCCAATGACTCACCAATAAGTAGTGCCCGTGCTTCTTAAAATCAATAAGTTAAACGGCGCTGTTTTGGGCTAATCGGGCCCACTGCGTAATACCCATATGGTCACAAGGTAAAGGACACTTAAACGTACACGTTAGTATCATGGTCGTATACCAGGAAGGTATGAGGGTCATACAAAAAGGGTGTAAAGGACAGACTGTGCATGCCTAAATCTGTTGGTGGCCGTTTTGCGGAAAAATACGGCCGAGCTCCTCAATACCTTGTAACCAGTGTTTTAGGGTGGTTGCCGACAGTTAAATTTGAATGTCCAAAATTGTTCAGTAGCCAGGTATTTTCCAGGGGTCAACTGTTTTATCAACAAAATCCTAAAACCCGGGTCAGCATCGGCAAATTTATCCCTTGTCAGTAGAAGGCTCCGGTCGTTACTCTTGGACCATAGAACACTCTCTGTCTTCAACGCCTCATAACTGCCACTCCTGAGGGTCTATCGATTCTAAGAAAAGGGCTATACGAGTTCAAAAGCACGATTAGTTTCGACAAGGCAGAGTGTGGGTGCCAGGTGATGGGGTCCCTGGTCCCAGCACGACGGACTGCTAACTACTAAGACGTAACTACTAAGATTTGACAAAGCGATCAATTTCGAACCTAAAGTAGTACGGGGTTCAGGGTATTAACACAGGTTAATTCTACAAAGTCCATTCGTTAAGGATAGTTACACACTTGAAAACATCCTCTTCTCAACTAAAAAAATCGCCTCGTGTGCGCCTAGACATAAATCAAGGGCGATTTATTTTAGGCCGATTTTTTAATAGGCCAATCAAAAAATCAAACGTTTGCGCCAGCCTAAGAACATTAAGAAATAAACTAATTTAATGTTATTCTGATGCTTGTTTGGTTTTGAGGATTTTTGACATCTAAATATTAGGCCAACCTGGTTTTCGCCTTTTAACTTATTCTTGTCTCCACATAAACACCACACACACACACACACACACACATAGTCTCACATATTTCGCGTTTAACTTAGCTTGTTTTAAAATCAAACATTTTTCTTTAAGAAAATCAACGCAATTTCCAATATTGTTGATATAGGCCTAGTTAGCACATAAATAACTAAAATTCACAGTTTCTTTCATTATTAGTATTAACACGTTCGCTACCGATCGCCACATATATGCGACTCTGCGATCATTGCCACGGACCGAGGTGTACATTTTAATTTTACACATCTAAACCGGTTGTCACTTGTTTAAAACTGCAGTAAACAAAGAATACGGGTTAGTGAAGCAGCAAAGTATAAAACAGTTTTGCCAACTATCGTATGACGTCACTCATCATCTTATCAACAGACCAACTGACGTACATATGGGAAAGACATCTCTGTAGACCACTGCAGAGAATTCCGGTCCTTTAAATAGACCGTTACGAAGATAGGCCTACAAGCTTTTTAATAACATTGGTGCCCCAACGCAAATATGCGACTGTCTATTTTAATGTGACCAGCCGTCACATATGTGTGTCGCTAGTCCATATGAATGAAAAATTTAAATTTAGTACTATTGCGGTAGGTAACGTTTTAAATATTTTAAGTGAAATCAAGGGATAAAATCAGGGTGGCTAGTGACCTGGAAAACCTGGAAATGCCAGGGAATATTAAATATCTGGAAAAGTCAGGGAATGTTGTCATAAGTCAGGGAAAATTTTTAAAATGTTTAAAATAATTATAATAATTGTTAGGAAAGGTTGATCTGGTGAGAGTACGTATGCTGTGTGGGTGAAAACTAAGAAATATGTCTGTAGAAATAAATTTTGTGTTTTTGTAGAAATTAAATTTTGTTATAAACTGCGTATTATCTTATCAAACTCAGTTTAATTTTATTAAGGCAAGTTGCAATGTTTGAATATAAGCTAGCCTGTATCTATAGATTTTGTGTATTTTTTCATGTAAACAAACATTTAAGCTATTTGTCAGATAAGATTAGACCTTTTGAAGAATTAGTTAGTATTAAAATTGTAATTTTGAATTTGTCGATCAGGGAAAGTTTAGAAAGTTCATGGAATTGTCAGGGAAAAGTCAGGGAATTTTTCAATTTGGTTTCACTAGCCACCCTGAAAATGAATAAAGAGTAAATGTTATTATTGTTTTTATTTATATCCTATGGTACTAATAAAATCATTACGATATTATCGGACCAGATAAAAATCTATATAGGCTATATATATCAATATGTAAATCAAATCAAATCGTTTATTGCTAAAACAAAATACATTGTATAACAACATCAAGGTAACAGTTTAAAAACTATTTTAATGAATTTAATAAAATTAAATGATCTACAAAAATTATCGCTATTCATCCGATAATATATCGTAGCCCCTACATACAGAACTGCAGAATTGCGAACTGAAATTACCTATCCCAATCCAAAGTCAATTCTCTCACGCCCACATTGCTCGAATTCTTTTGAGCAATAAGTTATTGTCCACCATGTCCACCTTGCTCAAGTCGAAAAATACACAAGCAGAACAGTTTGCAGCATCTAATTCACAAACCACCTCGTTTATCAATTTAAAAATCACTTAGGTGGTAGACCCTTTGTAAATCCATGCTGGTTCTGGATACCTATGCTATTATTTATCCTGAAAAAAATCCATAGCCTCATTACGGTGGTTCTTTCAAATATTTTTGAAAAAATACAACTGATAAAGGCATATAGCTATTGCAAAGCTTTGGATCCCCCTTTTTTGTAAAGGCCAGTAGCGGCTGGTGTTCATAGGTGGTGGGAGGGCTCTGCATATTTTTATAGGCTATACAAACAAAGCCTAACATCATTCACGTTTGTCAAAGAATTGGAAAAGATTTAAGGCTTATATTTGTAATTCAAACACACATATAGGCCTAGCATATGATATATATATATATACAGGGTGTTTCAGAATTTGTGTCGGATCCTCACATAGCCGCCATTTTCTTTTTTCTCTTATTGTTTTCTAAAAAATGGTAAGAGATACAAAATTGAAACTTTGCAAAAACATTTATGACAACTAGACAAAGCTACAAAAAAATTATGAACATTTTAAAATTCATAAAACAAAATGGCGGCCATTTAAAATTTTGTTTCTTAAATTACTCAAAAACCGCTGAGTTTACAAAAATTTACAAGAATAATTTTTTTAAGATAATTTAATTACAAATCGATTGACACCTTACTCTTTAAGATTGGATGAATATTAACTGAGTAATGGCAGCTTTAGTAATACGTGACTGCTGGAGGTTAGATGTAGTGCATGCCGAGGTACGCGGCCTAACAGTCTGCCACAACAACGCAACAGTCTCCGTCCGCTTTGCAAGTTATTTTAAAATGATTTTAGATTATTTCAAACAACAATATAATATTACATAACCCCAAAAGTGTATTTATTTTTATCAATTATCAATCATTAGGATGGCTTAAATTGCACAGCTTTTTACTGTTTTTAAAATTTACACTAAACACCCAAACTTTTTATAAGCATCTAGACTGCCAGTGCAACTCCTAGGATCGGTAGGATCGTGGATCAGATCGAAAAACCCCCCACCACCGCTCAGTGCCGATGGCGTGACGTCAACCATTACTGCAACGATACGGATCTGAGTCATGAGCCTTTGTGGTATAGTGGATAGCGTGTCGGGCTGATAAACTGAAGGTGCCGGGTTCGAATCCCACCGGGAGCACTAACTTTTTGTCAACAATTTTTTTCATATCAGCAAGTTTGGTTGGTTTGGTTAGGTTATGACAGTTTAATTTTATAATTAAAAGATTGTAAAATTGAATTTGAGACATTTATAATTTTATTTTTAGAACAGAGCTTTTTTTCGATTAGTAAACCTTCATTCGAGTTTATCATTATCAGCAAGTTTGGTTAGGTTATGATAGTTTAATTATATTTAATTCAAATTTAATCTACAAATTACGTTTTGACAGTGACAGCGATACAGATAACAATTTTCCGCGAACAGTTAGATAAGCTATGCTGATGCGCCGGTATGATTCGGAAGCGTACGACATGCTGCGGTGATGGGGGGTTACTACTGATCTGATCCACGATCCTCCGCTCAGTCCGCTCCTCGGACTTGCACTGGCAGTTTAGACGCTAGTAAACTTTTTAAATCAGCTGTGGTGAAAGTCAACGCACTTGTTTACAAACTTATCATCTAATTTTATTTTGTCTGAAGATGTTATTGTTTATTCAATGTAGTCAGTACCTCTAACCTTATACAGTGGGAGTACACTTTAAAAGTAAGTGTAAAAAGTTAGAGGAACTGACTACATTGAATAAACAATAACATACTAATTTGAAATAAGAACTTCTCTAATATTTCTGAATTTTTAATTTTTATGAGGCCTTTCGCCAGCTATGCTGGCATCATCAGACACATCACAAAACTGAAGGTTATGTTTATGTTTACAAATACAATTATAAATTTTAAAGAATGTAACATATGGGTAGTTAAAAATAAAAACTATTCTGTTAAGTACATTTAGCTAAAGTTACAAAAATAAATCATATATGTATAAAAATGAAATATCAAGTAGAATTAACTTATAACTTTGTAAATTTAGAATTTAGTAATGTAACATTTTGAAATGGACCGTTATCATTATTTACCAAATTGTCCATTTTATTTATAAATAACGATTCCCATGCATTTAGTTCATTGGATTTTATTATATTTTTTAATAATTTAGTATTATTGATTGATATTGTGTGGTCCGTT